TTGCCAAAACTTGTCAGCACTACGGGTCCCACTTCTTCTGCTTTTGTAAAGATTCTCTACAGTGATTTATCGAAAAGGTGCGAATGCGAGTGTATGACTATCAATTCAAATAATTATATTATTGGTCACTTGTCGTTAGGTTTCGTTGGTTCGTCTTCACTATTGCGTCAAGTGGTTTGGGTCGGGAGTACGACAATATAATTCGATGAATATAATATAGTTAAGCGTAGTTTAGTAGATTGAGTCCGATTGATAATCTAAATCTAAAGCTAAAGCTGTACTAATTTTTCAGTGGTAAGCTGAAATATTACGAGACAATTACAAAAATATCATTTTTTGTGTACATATTTATAAAAATATCATTTAAAAATATTTATTTATAAAAATACTACTAATTATAAATTTATAAAACATATATCCTAGAATTCTAAACCCTAAAAAATATTTTGACACCTAAAACCTCCTAAACACTCAAAACTAAATCCTAATAAAACATAATTAACCCAAACATAAATAATATAAAAATTTTTTTTTGAAAAAGTGATATTTTTGTAAAGATTTCAAAAATGTGGCATTTTTGTAAAATGGCACTTGAAAAGTGATATTTTTTGAAAATTTTCAAATTGTATATGGTTATGAAATAGTATAAAGATTTAAGAAATAATGGTATGCTAAAGCTCTAGAAGAATTAAAGCAGAGCAAACAGTATTATGATTCGTCATATTATAGCTGTACAAATAGTAATTAATATAAATAAAAATATTAAAAATCCTTTAGATTTGATAAAAATTTAGCTATGTAATAAATATTTTTGAGAGTTTTTTAGTAAAGTGATGTGTTTTTTTTTTGATAAACTTTGGAAATTACTGATCGTTGATCTATAATTTCCACCGGTGTTTGAGACCAGCTGTTGATAATACCACATTTAAGGGGTAAATCATCATTTTCCAAGTGAAATTGAACTAGTGATTTACTCTTAACACCACTATGCCACTTTTCACTTGGTAAAATGATGTGTTTTTCTCTTTAAAAAATGAGTATAGTGCGTGTTAGAAGTGAATGCAATTATTATTTATAATCATTATTTTCATCATTCATGTACATATAATTTGTGTTTATTTTATGTATATATGAAATTTACAAAGGTAAAAAATCCATGCAACCAATCACATTACAATTTTATCACTTTTGTAAATTTACTTTTTATCACCTTTATTTTTTAAATGATACAGTTTTAGCTAGTTATTTTTTTAACCTTTTTTCATTTTTTTGATTTGTACAATTTATAACGTATAAATTGTAAAATTGGTGTAAGATAGTTACAAATCAAACACATGACATATAATTAAGCGCAACCTATGAATAAGCTTATAAAATTATCATATTGAAGTGCTACTATATTTGC